GTGGGGCTCCTCCTCGGAGGGTACAGCCCACAGCACAAGGGGATGCTCCTCAGGATGTGCCTGCCCTGTGTCAGTGCTGCCACCACAGCCCTCGCCCTGGCTCCGTCCAGCTCTCAGCTGCCAGGAAACCCCAGAGCCCAAGCAGCTCCCACTGTGCCCACACACCTCTGAGGAACCACCACGGGGCTTGGCACCACTCTGGGGGATGCACCAGGGACACCCCTAAACGTCACCAGCCCTGCCCCAGGCTTCATGGGCTCACTCTCCCCTGGTTTGCCAAGGGGGCACTTCACACAAGCATCACATGCAGAGATTAGTCCTGATTTTATTAAGAAAGGCTATTTTAATCTAGTTTATGTGCACATTAACCTTTGAAAGAACAACTTGCTAACCTAGGGGTTAAAGGGACCTCAGCTCCTGGCCAACTGGGACTCCTCTGCTGGGGTAAACCCCAGTCAAGTCCCACCACACCAGGGATGTCTGGCCTGGGCTGGCACATCCTCGAGCTAGCCCAACACCAACGACCCCTCAGGTGGGTGTTTGGCTGTGTCCCTACATACATCTGCCCCATGCAGGTATCCACAGCATTGTCTGCACATATAAAAAGCCCAAACCCACCTCAAACCAGATGCCCCCAACCCACACAGCCCAGCTGGGAGGTGCTGGATACAGCCCTGGTCACCGCCAAACCAGAGTTTGGCATGTCAGGAGCAAGACAGGGGCTTGCTGTGACCACACTGGCACCCAAAGGGAGTGTAAAACCCTGGGAGCTGCCCCCCAGACCCTGCTAGAGGCTCTCTGCACCTCACAGCACAGGGCTGGATTCCTGGGGGCTAAACACTATGAGCCCTGCAGGAGGCACAAACAAACATCTGCACTTGGGGTGACTTTCCCTCCTTTTTTCAAATTTTTTGGGTTTTTTTGAAAAGTACTTATGTCTTTGCTCTTTTTTTTCTATTTCCAGCTGGGAAAGTTTAGCTAGTTGCAACTAACTCAGCTGCAACTGAGAATTTGGACTGCATGGCCGAGAGGCATGCAGAAGGCTCCTGTGTTTGATGATGGCCAGTACCTCAACATTAAATTCTCAATTTCCTTCTGCATTCCAAAAAACATCCAGGGATATTTTTCCCCCCACTATTCTTTCAGGCTGAGTAAACTCTTTAAGCATCAGGATACCAGATGCTGTAATCTCCTGCAGGGAATACATTTACATTTTGTCTAATATAGGGAAATCATCCCTACATAGCTGTTGGGAAGTGCTCATTGCTGCTCAGGGGAGTGGGGCTGGGGGACAGAGGGGAGAGGGTGACTCAGGAACTGAGGCTGGGGGCTAAGGGACACGCGGTCAGACCTGCTGAGCAGTATTGGCAGCCCAGCTGGAAATAATTTTTTGTTCCACCAGCCCTGCAGAAGGGATGACTTTACAACGTTTTGACTGAAAATGTTTGCCGAAAATTTTCAATCACTGGAAAGTTTTAGTGCAGAGAGTTTTTGGAGCTCCTCCCTGGCATTGCTGTGCTTTGAATTTGCCTTAGCCACTGCTTTTTTTTTTTGGTTTTGTTTTCCCTTTTTATTTCCTTCCTTTATTATGCTACTGAAAACACCAGGGAAAATTACTGGGGAGAAAAAAATCCACATTTGTTAAGAGACAAACCCTACCTGACCCATGGTCCCTCTTGCCCCCAGCCTGTGCTGGCTGGTTAGATCTCCAGTTTGCTTCCCAGGTGGGCACCTCTGCCCTTGCCAGAACTGTACGAGCATCATCCATGGGGAGGAAGCTGGATGGATGGACCCAGACGTGGGTCTCCCAGTGCTGCTTGGGCTCCTGTTGCAGAGCCCCCGTCCTCACACAGGGCAGGGTCTCCCCTCTCACTGGGATGGCACAGGCAGGTGAGACACACCAAGGCGACGCTCAGGGAACGTCCCCAAGTCTTGAGACACTCCCTGTGACCCCAGGCCAAGGCATGTGTTGTTTTGGTAAGGGGGTTCAGGCTCTCTGCCCCAGCTGACACTACAGCCCCCAGCATGCTGTGCCGCCGGCGCAGCCTTGGCGGGAGCACAGTGCAGCATGCCGGGACCCGTAGTCCTCCTTCCTTCCAAAAATGCCATTTTAGACCTTCTCTGGGCTGGATGCAGCCCCATTTTCTGCAGCAGCAAGCACCTCCTCAGCCACGGGCTGGCTGG